ATACATAGCAGAGAACATTTTGCACATATTTTAACGAGAAAGTTCAGCAAACTATTGCCGGAATTAAAAATTCACGCAAAATATATACATACATTTAAAAAAAAATTGAAATTCTTTAATAATTACACTTGTTTGATACGTTCTTTTTGTAAATAATTAAAGCTTAAACTTGGTAAGAAATTGAAATTTATAAAATTTTGAATAAAATTGGCTTGCAGATGCTGCTGAAGATTGGAAAAGCAATAATTATTTTTGATAAAAACAAATATATAGTGTTGCATTTTGAAAATTGTTAAATGATCAGAGTTAATGGGAAAAGAAAGATGGAAACGTGCTGGTGCTAAATATAAATTATAATTCAATTTAACTAAAACTCATTAGCTAACATAGGAAATTCTATGAAAATTAAACAAATAGTTTAGAAACGAAACATTACTTTAAATTTTTATTTTTCTTCAAAGATTTAAAATCTAAGCATTGAATTTCAAATGATAAGAAAAGAAATATTCTGCTCAAACCAACAATAACTACAGTAGGCTTATCATTATGATTATAAGAAATGAATATCATTGATAAAAATTTGGATTAAATTGAAAATTTCGCGGAAATTTTACTTCTCTCTTCTTTTTTGTCATTGCAACTATTTTGACAATCATTGTAAAATTTATTGGTATTTTACTAAATTTCTAACGAATTATTGCCATTGCAAGCAGATGTTATAATTGAAAATCATTACAAGTTCGGTATTTAATCAATGTTAATTTAGAAATAATAATCGCCGAATAAAATTTTAGATAAATTTCTTGAAATGAATGAAATCATTAAAATTTCGTAATATTTTCCAATAAATTAAAAGAAGTAGTATTTTAAAAAATATATTTAAAAGTTATCAATTCTAAATTAGCATTAATAGAAATATTACAATATCAAATTATTAAAAGCAAGAGAGGATGAAAAAATGAAAAATAAGCAGACATACGTAAATCGTAATCAAAGGAGAGATTATTAATTTGAATAGATTAAATCTCATTCAAAAATTTAATTTCTATCAGAGGAAAACGAGGAATTCACCGATGCTAATTAATAATCTCTCTTTCATCATTGTATATGCTTACGATAAACTGATTTATTCAAATTTCCTATGGGATAGATGGCTTGCACATTGAAATGAATAAATTGAAGTGAATAAAAGAATGGATGAATTGAAATGAATAAAAGTGAAGTTCGAGCTGAAGCAAGCAGGGAAAAAAAAGAAGTAAAAATGATGTAAATCCGAGGAGAAATTTAAAACTTTTATCTCCGAAAAGTTTTAAATGTGTATATGTGTGCTTATTATTATTGCTCTCGGAGATTGTATTACGCAAATACCTCATTTATGTGTCTGTTTGTATGTGTGTATGTGTGTGTATGTGTGTATGTAATGTGTGTGTGTGTGTGTGTATGTGTGCATGTATGTGTGTTCAGAATAATTTACGATATAAGACTTAAATTTTAAATGATTCAATTTTGTTTGATAGCAACAAGCATCATTTGATAGGAAAAAAAAATGGACAGACAAAAACGACAGTAATTTACAATGAAAATTTCTACCAACATAAAATTATAAATTTCATTTCATTTTTAGTGAAATTTTTTCCAATGCATATAATTTATTTATAATTATAAAATTGAATGAATGCAGTAGGAATAAATTTCTTTTTCTGATAATAAATTAGTCTAATAATGGATAGTTAAATTACAAGTCCTTAATTAGTTTTATTTTTCCGAAAAAAATTAGTTTATCGGAGAAATGAATGAAAAATTACAAAATGGATTTGCAAATGTCTTATTTTCAACATTTTACTTGTTGTATAACTTTTTTAATTAAAATGATTTCATCAAAAAAAAAAAAAAAAAATGATATCCTGCCATCTCATGGTAAATGATAAATTTTTTCATTTTTTCTGCTATATCAATGATGAAGAATGAATATTTTACACGTCATTAGATGATTTTGGTCTTACGTACGTAATTTGCAATTTTGGGTTCTTTCGCTGTATACTTTTTCAAATTTCATGTTATTTAACTGTGTTATTGAGTGATTTATTTTTGCTCTTCAATGTTATTTACTTTTGCCATTTTAAATGATTTCTTTTTGCTATGCAAACATAACTTAATTCCATCGTTTGACGTGAGTTACTTTTACTGCTTCATATGATTACTCTTTCAGTCACACTTTTTTTTGCGTGACATGTTGGATTGATTTCATTTAGCAGATACTATTATGATTTATTTTTATCATTTTCATATTTCCATTGCGGTTATTTTTTTCTCCTCTAAAACAAGTTCGTTTCATTATTTTTCTTCATTTAAAAATGGAAAAAAAAATATTGATCTTCTAATTTCTAACTAAAAAAAAAAATGAAAAACAGAAAACTTAATGAAAAAGAGTTGAAGAAGTGAATATTTCATTGCTATTTTGTTGCCATGTAATTATGCTAACAGCCACAATCCAAAACCAATCAATAATGATAGTTTCATCAAATCAATTCATTTTTAATGCAAATTTTAGTTTTTGACAAAAATAAATTCTTATATTTATGCCATCAAAAGTTGACATTCTCTGTATTTCTTATATATCGTGTATTTGTCAAATTAAAAAAAAAAATGCTTTATAAAAAAAGCAGAGAAAAAAAATCATTCCAAGACAATTCTATTCGATGGATTCTATAGAAATGATTCCGAATCAGTCTTAATTGGAATATTTCTGGAATCTTTCGGTAATTTGTTTAGTCATTCATCATTCATTAACACTTCATTGATTGTTTAATGAAGATTAATTGATAAATTCGGCTGAGAGCTCTTGAACGACTGATAGATTTTATTGAGAATTCTCAAATAGCTTCATTTAATTCAAGTACATTTCACTTGATAAGCTATACTTCATTGTGTAATTTTGTTTATTTTTGCTCATCATCATTCGCTAACTGTATTACACCAATGAATAATGATCTCTTTTTTCATTTATTTTGTTATTTTAAATTTGAATTTAAATTTTTTAATTTTAGTTTAATTCTTTACTTTATTATATTATTACAACATATGTTCATACATTTCCTTAAATTTGAAGATAAAAAAAAAAGAAATATACATTTCGTTCTACTTTTTTAACCAATTTTTTTTTTACAGATTCTTGTATCAGTATGTCATTCTGATGTCATTTATTTTAGGAACCATTAATTTTGCATCATTTGTGTTGACAGAAGAAGGAAGAGAGAGAGGGAGAGAGAGAGAGAGAGAGAGAAAGAAAAGTAATAAAAGCAGAAAAGCGAACTTATTTAAGAGTTTCTCAAAGTTCTGATCAATTGTCAAGTTTTGTTGTTACATTTGTGTAGGCCAACTTCTCGCTTGGCTTGCCTAGTAAGTATATTGATTGAGCCTAAATCAAGCAAATATATAAGATCTGCTCGGGAAATTCTTTCGTTTCCTCCCACATTGTAGCACATTTTAAGTCATTGCGTATGAGACTGATGATAGAAAGCCTTATGCTAGGCCATACAATGAGTGTGTCACTAAGCAATATTATTCAGGCTAGCAATATCCTGTGGAGCGCTTTTTGAAATGAATGTACCCTCTTCCTATGTTTATGATGATAAACAGATTACTTTTTTTAATTGTATTCCTGCCAGTTTTGTCTTTGCTGAATATTCTGCAAAAAATTTAAAAAAAAAATTGAAATCAAGAAGAAAAACCTTTTCGAATTTTAGCATTAGAAATTAAATTTTATACTTAAATTCATAATAATTGCCTTATTAATTTTAACATGAACGCTTCATTTTTCCCATTAATTTTTTTTTTTTTTGGAATTGATAAAATTAATTGCATAAGTATAGCCTTCGAATGTATTTGCTTGAAAATTCAAATTTTTATTCATTTCAAATAAAATTAGTGGCTCAAAATTCTTCCTTAATCATTTCCATAACATGCCAGTTGTTCAAAAAGATTTTATTTTTGTTGTATGTTTTTTATATTTATGTGCTTTTTTATACAATCATTGATTTTCTAAGAAAAAAAATGAAGGAAACAAAAAATTCTTCCAAAATATCATGTCATCTTTCTGCGCCCCTATATTATTGGCCCATAAGACAGGAAGAGTCAAATAAGCCCATTAAGGATATTATTTAATGTTGGCTATTGGCTTATATGCAAGTTTGTTTTATTTATTTGCATTTTCCTCCCATTTTCTTCTTTCTAAATGCTATCCAATTTGAATATTAGCAAAAAAAGAGTATCATTAGAGTTTAATTAAGTAATATTTTATCCGTAAACTTGACAGTTCATTTCGAGTAAGCTATACCTCGGATTAAAACGGATTAAAACATTTACATGCTGCATCTGTTCTCGTTAATGTAATAAATTAACGAAACAATATCATTAACTTTATGCCGAAAACTCATAAATCCTCTTTTTTTTTTATTTTATTACTGCTAAACATATTAATTAAAACATTATTGGCAATATCCGAAAGATTTATTTTTCTATAAATAGAATGTTCCGATCACTTCTTTTTTACAAACATTCATTCCTTTTGTTGACAATTTTTCGATCATTCTCGATTATATTTCAAAAATCTGTTCAAAGATCAACGATATATTTGTGAATGCTTGAAATTTGAGCTAAAATGATTCAATAAATTGATTTCATGGATTTTATCAGCTAATCACTCCTCTAAAATAAATGTAACACGGTTAATATTAACATCAAAATGATATATTCCATTAAATGATTGAATTTAAATTTAAAATGTTGCATTCAAAAATTTTTGCCATTGTTTGAAAAAATTATTCAAAACCAATTTTACGGTAAATTTCCGAACAATAGTAAATTAATAATAATTTTTATGCTTTAATTTTCATATTTTTCATGTGATTTAAATGATATTTTTAATGCAATATAACAATTTCACAAAAAAAAAGAGAAAAATAGAAATTCTAAGTTTAAAAATTGAGGAAGGAGTTAAAATGAGTAAAGAAGAAAGCGCAACAATTGGAGAACCGATGGATTCGCTGTTTTCACGTGAACAGCTTCAGAGCAATAGCAGTGAACAGTGGTGGCAAAAGTAAATTTTTGAAAATTTTTCTTTGAAAATATTTTTATTTCTTTTCTCGATCCTAACTTCTTCTCTCATCCATTGCAATCTTTCTCACATTAATATTTTGGAATTATTAAATTATTTATATATTACATATAGCAAAATTTTTGTCTTGTACTTAATTAAATTAATAAAAGTGAATTTAAAATGGATAAATGTTTTGCATTGAAATATTAAATTTAACAGGAATTTCCTCATCACCCGACCATTGCTATTCGGTACTTGGGATGGTGTTTTTACCACTGTTTTGGTTAATATTTTTGGTGTTATTGTATTCCTTCGTATGGGATGGATTGTGGTTGGTATTTATTTTGATTACTTTAAATAACATTTCATCAATCAAATTATTTAATGAAAAAACTTATTTTCTCAATTTAATTTTAAATTTAATCTTTAATCTCTTTCGAATTTACAAAGTACTCTTTTGTTTGCATAAAATATGATTTGCTATTCGTTTTATCAATTATTTTCCTAAAACTACAATTTTTCTAATAAAATCTAACTTTAAGAATTTGAACAAAAAATTTCATATAAATTATATATTTATTTTATAATTCAAAAATTTTAAATCAATCATTTTAACTTTACAGGGAATAGGTGGTATAATAAATGCAGTAATTTTATTGATTATTTGTACATCTCTTGCTTTAATATCCGTATTTTCTGCTATTGGTATTTGTGAAAAATGTCAAATTCAAAGTGGTGGCATATATTTTTTAGTGTCACACATACTTGGTGGCCAAATTGGTGGCGCTGTTGGCTTAATGTATGCTTTTGGGCAGGTAATATACGAATATACATTTTTAATTATTTTTAAATAGACTAATTTAAAAAGTTTTGAAGAATTAATATCAGTTTATTACAGAGTTTTTATCATTCACTAATAAGAATTTTTGATTAATATTAATTTAATTAAATATTAACCAATGTTAGGGAAATGCTCATTAATGTTATACAGTGCAAAAATTATCTTCTAAGACCTACCTTAAATTTTTTTTCAAATACAATAACTTGAATTTTTTAACATTAGCATAAATTTACGTTAGCATTAGCTAAATCACTAATTGAAAAATAATTTCATAATTTTAATTTGCATTTATTAATTGCGATGCAATTTTCTTGACAACAGCATGTAACAAATTTTTAAATTTGAAGCTGCACAAAATTTCAAATATCTTTATTTTTTTTCAAGTTTTACTTAATCTTTTTTAGTCTGTTGCAACGGCATTAGTTGTCATTGGTTTCGGCGAAAGTGTCGCACATTTTTTTGGAATTGAAAATTCGATTGTTCATAAATTCATCGCTATAATAGCATTACTCGCGTTGACAGGTTTTTTTAATTCATAATATTTATAAGAAAAATTTTGCAATTAGCACAATTTTGGTAATTCATAAAGATCGAATCTTGTAAAATTTCCAATTAACGATTAATTGAATGATCGAATTTTGAAAATTACATGTCCAAATTTAATAATATTTTAGTTTTGAAACTAAAAAATTTCAAATCAATTCAGTATTAAGTGTTGGAAATTGATAAATGCTTTTTAATTTAAATTTAAATAATATTATTCAGACAATAATTTAAAAAATTTTTATACTGCATAACTTGTCAAATATTATAAATAATAGGAATTAATATGACTGGCGTACGTTGGGTTATTCGATTACAACTGATATTATTGCTATTTTTGATGCTTGCTGTCATTGACTTCTATTTGGGGACATTATTTAAAATCGATATTGGTTGGTAATATTTACGTCAGTTACGTTAGATATTTACGTAAAATTTCATCAAATTAAAATTATCACGCATATTTAAAGAATAAACCAATACAAATTGTAAATTTATCAAATTAAAAAAAAATGCACGCTATGAAGCGGATTATTGTTATTTTTTTTTTTTTTAATCAAACATATTTTTCCGTTTGATTGCAAAAAAAAAAAATGAGATGATTTAATTTGCATGCCGTGCGCAAACTGAAGGTAATTGCCAGCAGCGTGCAAATGAAATCGAATGTTGCACGCAAATAATATTTCAATTCACAAAAAAAAAAAATGGAAATGAAAATGCAAACTTTGAGAACATGGCATTGGACAATTCTCGGTGGTACGATTCGATGCAAACATGGACCCAATGTACGACGGCTTTAATTGTTCTCGAATTGGTATCGATGTGCAACAAACTCATCAGAATTTTTTTACTGTTTTTGGTGTTTTCTTCGCAAATTTCCTCGGTGTTTTGGCAGGTTCAGTTTACAGTTCGAAAATTTCTTGATTTTTTTTTTAAATAATTAAATTTACTTGAATTTTTTACATAATTTAATCCGCTTTGAACTTGTTAAACGATTAAATTTACTTCGAATTTATTGAATAGTGAATTTTACTTTGAGCAAACATGGCAAATTTAGGTATAGTGAAATAATTAAACTTTTATATTTTATTCTTCCATTAATTAAACATTTTTTTCATTCAAATTTCATGTCTATCATCTTATATCGTTTGCACGACCGTTACAAATAATGTAATACGAAAGAAGATTTTCAAAAAAGAATAAATATAATTTTAATGGGGTAATTTGGAGAGGTAAATAATTTGCATGCGATATAATTTTATGAGATTTATCTAAAATTCAAGTTTGAATTACAAAGAATGGAAAAAAAAGAATTAGCAAGTAGTAACTAATAAATTTTGCTTTCATAGTTTTTATTAATCCTCTAATAAACATTTAAAAATTCTCTGATATAAATTTTAAAAATGATCGAATTGACTTAATTAAATTAATACAGGTGTAAATATGAGTGATGACCTGAGGAATCCTCAACTTAGCATACCTGTCGGTGAATTATCTGCAATTGCTGTCAGGTAAATTTTCATTTTTTTTGCGTTAAATTTCAAATACTAAGAAAATTTTTTAGAATTATCGACGTCATGTGATCGTACTAACAGATAAACTGATGATTTTATGCGCAAAAATTTACGAAAAATGATTAGTTATTTTTTAATTTCATTATATAAGCAATTCTTTTTAATCTTTTGGAAATTTTATTCGCCTATTCCTCAATACTGCTTCTTCCAACTTCCCGTTTGTCCGGAAGAGCCTTTTATCACGCCCCCACCTTTTTTTAAGAATTTAATAATTCATATGAAATTTATTCTCGCTTTCATTTTGCTAATTAACCATTACTTAACAGAACTGATTATATCATCAGTTAGCCGTGCGGAATCAATTTTAATATATAATATCAAAAGTAACCGTCGTGCTATTAAATAAAATAATAGCAAAACTATTTCTGGAAAAAATTGTAACAGTAACAGAAAGAAAATTAACAGTAATAGTAACAGAAAATTCAGATCTTTGTAACTTGTAAGAAATTAAATAACAGTATTAATAATCATTAATTAGGGAATGAATTATCATTTGAAATGATTTTCTATATTATGTTTTTTGTAACAGACAAAGAATTGATACTGAATATATCAGCTAAAAAATGGTTCTTTCAAATGTGCTTTCTTTTTTATTCAACTAATTTTTTTCTGTTACTGCTACAATATAATTAATTAATTCAGTTCGACGATTATTCTATCGTTCATACTTCTCCTCGGATCATTAGTTAATCGTGCTTATCTGATTTGTGATACACTGATTGCTGAAAATATATCACTTACCGGATTTTTTTACCTTACCGGACTTTATGTTTCATCGTTGAGTTCAACAATTGGCGCATTGCTCGGCACTCCACGTGTTATTCAAAGTATCGCATCCGAGGGTATCATACCACTTCTCAATCCATTAGCGATTGGAGTACGTTCTTTTCATTATCATCACAAATTATTTTTTTATTTTTAAAATTATAAATTATATCCTTTAAAATTAACCAATTAATGTAAATTAATTACAAAATTGACAATGTTAATTTTTACATTGCTATAAATAATCTTTCTTATTTGTTCACTTTCTCTCTGTAATCATAATATCTTTACAATTATAACAATTATTATCTTTCTTTTCTTTCTCTTCTCCCCCCCCCTCTCTCTCTCTTTGTCTATAATCATAATATCTTTTTAGTTACAATTATCATTTCCCTTCCTTTCTCCCTTCCCTCTTTTTCTTTCTTTGTTTATGATGACAATATTTTTGTAGTTACATTTATCATTTCTCTTCCTTTCTCCTTTCCTTCTCTCACTTTCTCTCTCTTTATAATCTCTTCATAATTATTACATATTTCTACCACTTGATATCAATATAAATTATTAATTCAAATGAATTTTAACAAAAATTTTTTCTTCTATCTTTTCAGCACGGCGCAAATAAAAGTCCATTACGTGCAAGCATTGTAATGATTCTTATTGCAATTATTTTTGTATTACTTGGTGATTTAAATCAATTAGCAATTCTTTCAACGATGCCATTCTTGATAACTTATGCTTTCGTTAATTATTCCTACGTTTCATTGGCGATGAGCTATGATCTTCAAGCTGTCAACAAATTAGCGTACGATTTCAATTTCACGTTCACCTTTTTTTTTTTTTTTTTNTTTTGAAATAATTCTACCACATTCCATTTTATTTATCTCTTATATCATTTCAAACTATTAATTACATATTTTGATACATTTAATTTGTACCTGTAAAAAATGATGACAGTTCGTTGTCATTCACAGTGCTACAACAAAATATGGCAGTATGGGACAGTTTAAAGATGGAACGAATAATGGTGAAGAAGATGTCACCGATTTGGGAAAGTTATTTCCTGAAAGAAATTTGCATAATTTACCAAGTACTGATAATGTATTATTGCATAAATTAATAAATGCTACATTCAGCATAAATTTCGAAAAAAATTTTCAATAAAATATATATGCCCCAATATAGGGATAAAATGAAAAGAAAAACATTTAAATGATAAACAATTGATAAGAAAATGTTAACAATGATAATATAACTATATTTAATCCAATTTTTTTAAAATAGAATATTTCAGCTAAAGAAGAAAGTTCCACTTTCATAAGCGGTGAATCGCATACATGGTACTCAGTTTTCAGCAATCGTTACATATCACTTGTTGGAGTGTGTAATTCTTTTTTTTTTCATTTATTCTTTAAATATTATTTCTAATATTAATTTAATATTCCATTGCTTTATCAAATTTCATACATAATTGTAACAAAATTTAATGCAAAAAATTAAGAGAAGAAAATTTTGTGAAAATCGATGCAATTCTCATTCTTTTTATTGTTCTCCTACTATTATCATATCATATGAGCTGAAAAATAATAATTGAAATTTTGATTAAAGTGTATTTGTTATCATTGTTGCTTATTCAATTTCAGGCTATTACAAACATTCTTATAATATTATTTATTAATTTTTGGTATGCATTGCTGCATTTGCTAGCATTAGCTGCTTTATATTATTATATTGGGCGTATTTGTCCATCTGTTTCGCCTGGTTTGTTTCCTCACATGGTTTATTTTAGAACTGGCAATACTAAATTACGATGAAAAATTTTATGATTACTTAATTAAATGCTTTTTCCTATCATTTAGTTGCCGTAGTGACGGTATATGTTGCAAAAATAACGATAATTTGACATTATCATATTGATTTCATTTACTTGATAATGATACAAAGCGAAACAATGTGTATTAATTATCATAAAATTAATCAATGCACTTAGCAGTAAGGCTTTTTATCCTTAGGTATCAGTCAATTCTCATTTCCACATATGTTCAAAACCGCATTTTCAAACTTCGAGACAACTAACGCAGCAAATTTCACGCGTATAATTGCTACGAAAAATATTGCTAGCAGTCCGGAAATTGAAACCGCTGTTGCAACTTTAAATGAGGAAAATCCGGACTATTCAAACCGAAAACGTTATCACCATGCTGAACAGGCAGAAGCAGTGATAAGTGATATACATTGAATGTATCACTGGTCTACTTGTCTTTAAACAAATTAAAGAAATTTATTTTTCTGAAAAAACGAACGAACAAAAAGGCGATAATTACTGATATGGTTTAATAATTATTTTGAAATAAACAAATATGATAAATTAGAAAAACTCATCAACTTCGATTTGAAATCAAAAATATTTCCAAAATTTTCCAATAAAACCATGCTAAATCATTATAGGAAAACGAAAAGTTCGGAATGCTTAATTTGTTAATACTGCAAGAATTTTAGATTTCAATTTTCTATTCATTTTCTTTGTCATCATTGGAGATAGTGATATTAAGCAAAAAAAAAGTTAAAATAATTAAATCTTTATGGTTTATGATTATTTATTTTATGGTCAAAATTTTTGGCTTACTTCATTTGTTTTTTTTTTTATAAAAGTGCTTTGTTTCTGTATGAAATGCCATTACAAATTCATACACATCTTCTTTTATCATTATATATTTATTAAAAAGTAAAAAAATTCATTGTTTGAATTTCAAATTTAAATAATCAATTTCTTCACTCGTTCTGTTCACTTCTTTTTTTAATTCTTTTCTTTCTCTTTCTTCTTTTTTAATCAATATTTCGCTTCAAAAAGACATATAAAATTTCATTTTCTGCCATTGCAATAAAAATCATTGAAAGCATTGGTTTTTCTTTTCATATATTAATCATTCACATCGAAGAATTTAATAAAAATGTTTGTAATAAAGCAATTATTTACAAATAAAAATAAAAATTTTGAAAAAGCATTCATCGTACCTTTTGAATGAATTTTATGAAATTTGACAATAAGGAGAAAAACAAAAGCGAAAACGCTTTAAAGCAAAACATTCTTCAATTTTAATTCATCATTTAAAATTTGCACATTATCGATTAATTTCATAACGATCGATTAATATTGCTATGTTTTTAGAACATCAAATATCGCTTGATTATCCTATGAGTGATTGAAATAGGAAATATTGATTGACATAATAGTGATTAAATGATTAACTATTTGTGCGGCAAATATTAATAACCAATTAATTTTGATAATAATGATCCATTAACCTTCCAATGAATGACTTTTCGAACGGAAAAATTGATTGATCATTGAATAAATAATTAAAATCTTTTGAATAAAAAGATTTATAGGAAATGATTGATCTATGCAAAATTTTATAACTAAAAAAAAGAGCGAAAGGCATGGATGCTTTTGGAAGAGAAATTTGAGGGATGAGCAAATTTGTTTACAAATCATAAAAATGGTCCTCGTCCAAATTTTCTCAAAGTGTGCAATGGAAGTTGTTGTATATAACATTAATCATTCTGTATTACTATTTCCCGAGAATTTTTATTCAATTTTTCAAAGATCACTTTTTTCCGAGAATTCTTGCACAAAATATCACGCCTAAATTTTCAGCATTTCTTTTTTCATTTAAATTTTTAAAATTCAAAGATGAAAAACTCGAAAATTTCTTTTTTTTCATTTCAATTTTTTTTTGAAAAATTCAAAGATTACAAAAAACGATAGTAATTAGCTAATAATGGTTGTTTTGCTTTCCATTTCTTGAATTTAGGCTATTTTCTTGTCTATTTCGTTTATTTAAAAATTAACAAAAAATTATTAACTAAAAATTCTTTTTATTTTGTTTATTTCAGTTTCATGTGTGCACCAAGCTATTTTCCATATCCAACCGGTGGAATTATTTGTGGATTTACAATGTAAGCTCTATCTGAAATCATTAGTTACATCGCTATTTACTGATTAGAAATTAATGATTAGAAATTGTGATTAGCAATTGTTTATGAAATTTGTGTTATTTTTTTAAACACTCTTATCGTCATCATTAATTTTTCGTTATCATAAAAATGATGATGAATTGAAAATTTGCTTATTATTACTAATAACTCGTTTAATTAACTGACTCACTCATTTGATTATCGTAATATAAATTTGTCAATGATGGTTAGAAATTTTGATTAGCATTGTTAGCACACATTTATATGTTATCTTCATTTTACATATTACGAGAATCAAACGAGTAAGTTAAATCATATCAACATCTTGATAGCAAACCGATTTCCGTTTATTCGGAAATTCCATCCAAAATTACAATGTTTCGAATATATTTTTATTGGTTATACCGAGTTCATTTCCATGCAAAATTATATTTAAAACTTTAATATCAAACCGGTTCTATCTTCCTTTAATCGAAAATTACATTCAAAATTATAATTGTCAATCTTCTACTAATTTTCACTTTTTCAAGGAATTTATAAAAATTTTAAATTTGACTTTTTTTTTTTATTTCAGATGTCCGGATGAATCGATTTTTCATTATTATTATTGTTGTTACGGGTTATTAGGCGCTTGTTGCTTCTATCTAAGAACATGGCTTATGTAAGTTTCCTTTTTTTTTTCAAATCAAAAAATATTTTCATTGAATTTTTAAAAATTATTTCAATGATTACTTATAATGCAACATAATAAATGATTGAGTGATATGATAGGGATGAGAATGCATAAATTGTTTGCATAATTTATTGCATATTGCATGTAAGCAAGCATATAATGCATGCGCGGCATATATTCATGTTTGATAATGTAATACTCGTTCTTAAAAATCCGAATGTTTGTTTGCTTGCAGCAAAGAATTCCATCATCAATGCAATTAACGAATAAATTCCTTTAAGAATAGAAATTAAAGAATAAAAATAGAACTTAAAACAACTAAAAACTTCAAAAATTAACATAAAGAAATAGTATGAGATGAAAAAAAGGCAATGTGAAAATATGAACTGCTGCAAGAAAATCAGCATATTTGATTCATTATTTAATTGATGAATTGATTGGTGCAATCGATTAACCAATGATCGATTAGGTAGATTAGTTGATCAGTTGAAATGTATTAAATATATTATAATTTGTTGTGTAGTATTTATGTATGCTGATAATGATTATTTCAATATGTGAAAAATGAAATGATTGTTAATTTTTTTCTTTTTTAGAATTTTATTGATGGTAATCAGTCTTTCATTGATCCTTTGTGCAGTTGCCGCCACTATTGCGGCTTTTTCAAGAAATCGTCAACAGCGCTTACCGAACGCCGACAATACCGCCAATGCCGGATATGACATTCATTACCATCCAACACGTGATCATGCTGTATATTTTACTGATCATTGCAGAGATCGAAGTCTTTAAACTCAATTTTACAATTCTGATTAATTATTACTGTTATTAATTTATTCGAATTCATTTTACTGCATTGATCATCTATTCAACGATTTCCTCATTATTTGCACAACGTCGAATTGTATTTTAAAAGTGTAAAATGTTCTTCATTCATAAAGATTAAATGAAATTTCAGTTTCAAAATAAAATTAAATTTAGGAAAGACTAACAGCCCATTATTTTCAAAAGAGAAATATTTTTAGCTAAGTTCAAAATGAGAAATTTATCGAAAAAAATGATTTTCTTTTTCTTTTGATTAATTGCACATTTAAATGTCAACTGCTCTCTTTTTTTACGGTTTCAGTTCAAATTATGAGAAGAGGATATGATTGGAAATACTCGTGAATTTTCAAAAGCAAAAAAAAGAGAACAAAAATTTCTTTTTTTTGACAGCTATAGGATTGAAAATGAGATGAAAGATCGCCGCGTTCACAAAGGGAGGAAAAAAATTTTTTATCGTTCAATGCTTATCAGATTGTTGCGTTTAAAGTTGAAGCTAACAAATAAAATTTTATTAGCAACTAATCGCATTGTAACACCCAAAAGAAAAAAAGAAACCGACCAATTAATCCGAAGAAAAAAAAGAAAAGAAATGCAAGAAAAAGTTGCACAGTAATAACGATAATACTCTAAGAATTAATGAAAAAATTTTTTAATAAATATATTTGAATAAGCCAGAATTGATATTACGAAATAATTTCATAATAATATTTTTTAAGTAAACTAATTAATTAGAGGAAGTAACAGAAAAGAACAACAAAAAAAGAAAAAACAAAAAAAAAAATTCGGATAAATGGTTTTAAAAAAATAAAGGAAAAAATACATAATTTGACGCTACACAAGTGGTGTAACCTTAATTTCAAATTCAAATCCGAGTTTGAATCATAATTTATGAATGGCGTTTTTATGCCCTCCTCTTTTATCTTACAATAAAAAATAAAGGAAATACAAAAATTTTAAAGAAAAAAACTTTATCCGATTTTTTTCATCAATTTCATTGTTCGCCATCGGCATTTTTTTGACCCACCATGTGTACAACGATTACTGTCTTTTTCTTCTTTTCTGAAATATAAATAAAATTTAGCAAAATTTTATGACAAATTTTCATTAGACAACACACATACACACAAATAACACATTGATAGCAATAAGATTCATTTCAAAACTTTACGAAATTTTCCATTTTTGTTAATAAACAACTAAATTTAAACTTTGAAAGTTTGGCAATATAAATATTTATGAGCATATGAAGCCACAGCAAAGTAT